AACTAACTGGCAATTTGATCGAGGAAGAGCAGCAGTTATCCGCGTACGTTGAAATTGGAGGCGTCGCATACAAGGCCACAATTGACACGGGAGCAACGTCAAGTTTCATCAACGAGGAGCTAGCGGATAGACTGGCTGACAAAGGAAGGATCACAAGGACAAGACGGCAAGTTAGGTTGGCAGACGGCAGATGCAGCAGAATAAGCTCACAGCTCGAGATCACGGTGGAATTTGGAAACAAACAATTGGAGATGAATCTGCTAATACTTCCAGGAGTAGTGGATGAACTAGTGCTGGGATGGAATTTCCTCACGGGAGTCGGGGCGGAAATAAAATGTGCCGGGCATGAATTGCGAATACCGGCAAGAAAACGGCACAATGGATGTCTGGAAGAAAGGCTGTCGGTGGCTGTAGATTCACACTTAAGTGATGAAGAGGACATTGAGAAATTCCTCGACAAACAGTTAGCAGATTTCAGCACCATGTCAGGAACATCTACAGTGGCCGAGCACCAAATCACCATGAAAGACGACAAGCCAATCAAACAGAGGTATTATCCTAAGAACCCAAGAGTCCAAGGAGAGATCAACGCAAAAGTGGACGAGCTGTTACAAATGGGCTTCATAGAACATTCAAGAAGTCCATACAGCTCGCCCATCGTAATGGTGAAAAAGAAGACGGGCAAGTGGAGGCTATGCGTTGATTTCAGACAAATAAACGCGAAGTCCATAAAAGATGCCTACCCGATGCCGCGGATTAATTATATCCTGGACCAACTCAGAGAGGCAAAATACATAAGCAGTCTAGACTTGAAAGACGGATATTGGCAAGTCCCTTTGGAGGTAAATAGTCGGCAATATACGGCGTTTACAGTACCCGGCAAAGGCTTGTTCCAATGGAAAGTAATGCCTTTCGGACTACATTCAGCATCGGCCACGTTCCAAAGGGCTCTGGATCAGGTAATCGGCCCGGAGATGTCACCATACGCGTTTGCATACCAAGATGACATCATTGTGATCGGACGCACGCTGAAAGAACACGTGGAGAATCTAAAGGAAGTGTTTAGGCGCCTCAAGGAAGCAAACTTAAGAATAAACGCCGATAAATGCAAATTCTTCAAGCAAGAGTTGCTTTACCTAGGACACCGCGTTACTAGCGAAGGGATAGGCACAGATCCCGAGAAGGTAGCGGCCATAGCCGAACTAGAGCCACCGTCGACAGTACGCGAACTACGGCAATACCTAAGCGTAGCTTCATGGTATCGACGATTTGTGTCAGATTTTGCGCGTATAGTAAAACCACTGAATGATCTTCTACGCAGAGGCACAAAGTGGATATGGACGCCGGAACACCAACAGGCCTTCGAAGAGGTAAAGGCACGACTAGTAGCCGATCCAGTGCTGGCGTGCCCAGATTTCGAGAAAAAGTTCATCCTTCAGACGGACGCCAGCGACTATGGATTAGGTGCAATCCTGACGCAAGAGACAGAGGACGGCGAAAGGGTCATTTCATACTCAAGCCGGACACTAAACGGCGCGGAGAAAAATTACTCCACAACAGAAAAAGAGTGCTTGGCAATCGTGTGGGCAATCAGGAAGCTGAAGCCGTACTTGGAGGGCTACCATTTTAAAGTGGTTACAGACCACATGGCTTTAAAGTGGTTAAACAGCATAGAAAGCCCTTCTGGAAGGATAGCAAGATGGGCCCTGGAGTTACAGCAGTACGACTTCGAGATAGCGTACAGGAAAGGACAGCTGAACGTGGTGGCAGACGCCCTATCCCGACAACCGTTGCCGGAGACACTTAGGGCCATAAAAGACGCATCGGAAAAACCAACCAATAGCTGCAGCTGGATCAGGAGTATGTGCGAGAAAATAAAAGCCCAACCACAAAAATATCCAGATTATGTAATGGAAGGCGAGTCTCTCTATAGGCACATTCCTCACAGAGCGGGCAATGAAGATGTCGTGGCTTGGAAACTGTGCGTTCCGCAGGGTCTAAGACAAGCCGTACTAGAAGAAAACCATGACTCCCCATCCGCTGGTCATGTTGGGAGTAGAAGAACAATAGCACGCCTGGCAGCCCGGTACTACTGGCCAGGAATGCACAGAGACGCCAGGACCCACGTACGCAAGTGTGAAGTTTGCCTGAAATACAAGCCCAATCAGCTGCAGGCTGCAGGGAAAATGCTCACTCAGGTACCAGAGGAACCATGGGCAACAGTATGTGCGGATTTCGTCGGGCCATTGCCAAGATCAAAGCACGGAAACCAGATGATACTGGTGTTAATCGATCGGTTTTCCAAATGGACGGAAATTGTACCGCTACGAACAGCAACAGCGGAGACCCTACAGAGGGCGTTCCGAGAACGCGTAATATCAAGGTTCGGGGCTCCAAAGATAGTGATAACCGATAATGGAGTACAGTTCACAAGTCGATCCTTCAAAAGATTTCTTAGCGAAATGGGAATAAAGCAGCAATTCACGGCGCCCTATACACCACAAGAAAACCCAACAGAACGAGCTAACCGTACGGTAAAGACGATGATAGCTCAATTCGCAGGAAAGGACCAAAGAACCTGGGACGAGAACTGGAAAGAGATTATGCTGGCAGTAAACTCAAGCATATCTGAATCAACCGGGTACTCCCCAGCGTTTCTCACTCAAGGCCGGGAACCCCGTTTGCCAAACGCATTATACGACAGGGAAACTTTAGGCTCGGGGAAAAGCACAGAGACTCCAGACGAGAATGCAGCTAAATTACAAGAGATCTTCGAAATCGTACGCCGAAACATGGAAAAGGCATCCCAGGACCAAGCCAGACACTACAATCTGAGGAGGAGGCAGTGGACGCCGGAGGTGGGCAGCATAGTATGGGCAAAAGAACACCACCTATCCAAAGCAGCCGAGGGTTTCGCAGCGAAACTAGCCCCAAGGTACGATGGTCCTTATCAGGTTGTGGATTTCATCTCTCCGGTGATCTGCAGAATACGCCACACAGGTTCAAAGAAAGAGCGAAAGGTTCACATTGGCGAGCTTAAGCAGCAACAAACACACGCTGCGAACGAGCAGACGGTCACATCGGAGGACTAGATACAGACTACAATAAACCAGGCGGAAAGGACACCTTGAAGAACAGCACAAGGAACGGTTAACGTATAAGGAACCCAGCCCGCAAGGCAACAGGATTCAGCGTCGGGCATTCGCCAGAGTCATCCATGATTACGCCAGGCGGAAAGGACACTCATGGGGAAAACACAAGGATATGGTTAACGTATAAGGGATCCAGACCGCAAGGCAACAGGATTCAGCGTGGGGCAGTCGCCAGAGTCATCCATGATTACGCCAGGCGGAAAGGACACTCATGGGGAGAACACAAGGATATGGTTACCGAATAAGGGATCCAGACCGCAAGGCAACAGGATTCAGCGTCGGGCATTCGCCAGAGTCATCCATGATTACGTCAGGCGGAAAGGACACTCATGGGGAGAGCACAAGGATATTGTTAACGCATAAGGGATCCGGACCGCAAGGCAACAGGATTCAGCGTCGGGCATTCCCCAGAGTCATCCATGATTACGCCAGGCGGAAAGGACACTCATAGGGAGAGCACTGGGATATGGTTACCGCATAAGGGATCCAGACCGCAAGGCAACAGGATTCAGCGTCGGGCATTCGCCAGAGTCATCCATGATCACGCCAGGCGGAAAGGACACTTACGGGTACAGCACAAGGACACGGTTAACATGTAAGGAACCCCGACCGCAAGGCATCAGGATCCAACTTTGGGCAGTCGCCAAATCATCCGTGATCACGCTAGGTGGAAAGGACACTTAAGGGGACAGCACAAGGACACGTTTAACATGTAAGAAACCAAAACCGCGAGGCATCAGGATTCAACTTTGGGCATTCGCCAAATCATCCGTGATTACGCCAGGCGGAAGGACACTGAATAGGAAAACAAAATGATACGGTTAACATGAAAGAAACCCAGACTGCGAGGCATCAGGATTCAACTTTGGGCATTCGCCAAATCATCCGTGATTACGCCAGGCGGACGGACACTGAATAGGAAAACACAATGAGATGGTAAGCATGGAAGGAACCCAGACCGCGAGGCATCAGGATTCAACTTTGGGGAATTCGCCAAATCATCCGTGATTACGCCGGGCGGAAAATACACTCACGAGGACGGCACAAGGATACGGTTAACAACTACGACTCAACAACAGTAGGAGCGGCAGGCATAATTCAAATCCCCAAGGATATACCAAGGGCACCCCAAGGATACCCCAAGGATCCCTTAAGGATACCCCAAGGATACCCTTAAGGACACCATCAAGGCTCAACGTAAAAGCTACACCAAGGACCCTCCAAGGATACTACAAGGACACCACAAGGATACCCCAAAGGCACTCCAAAGGATACCCTAAGGATCCCCTAAGGATAACACAAGGATAGTCCAAGGATACTACAAGGACACCACAAAGATACCCCAAAAGGCACCCCAAAGGATACCCTAAGGATCCCCTAAGGATCCCCTAAGGATAACACAAGGACAGCCCAACGGTGACAAACAAAGAGGAAGGCGCGAAACCGAGGTTTTGTTTGAGGGAAACCCTGCGACAATCAGGCATTAAGAAGAAAGCAGTCAATATGAGCAGTGTGATCACCCGAGCCGAAGCACGCAGGAGGATAGCGGCCCAGCAGGGACCCAACCCGGGGCAAGGATGGTCGGCAGCCCGGCCTACCCGAACCCCGTGGCGGTCCCTGAAACGGGCCCGCACCGTGGAGTCCTCGCCGGAGCCTGTCATCAGCTCAGACAGCGATGTCGAGGTAATCGATGACTCCATCGCGGAGTAGAGGGAGTGGCGGCTCTGGAAGGCGACAAGGGATGGCCGCATCCCACCCGGGACGTCGGTTATTGGGGGCCAAACCCCCGAGACCCGAGACGCGGAGGTAACTCCGTCAACTGGCCACATCGAGGCGGTCAGCCGGGCCATGGCGGAGAGTCAGGCAAAGTCTGGGGTCCGAGACCCGACGGAGCAGGAACGGGAGCAGGAGCCCGAGAAGAGGGCCAAGCTGCGCCGCCACCACATGGAGGCGGCCATCCGGTGGCACGCCCAATTAAGAGAGGCGGAGGAGGAGGAGCAGCTGATGTGGGAGGTCCCGCCAACGCCCCGATATACGGCAGAGGAGCCTAGGCCGGAAGGGAAGGACGAGGAGGAAGAGTGGGCCCCATCTCCGGCAAGATGGTTGCCGGAGGTGCCGCTGACGCCCCGGCACGAACCGGAGTGGCTTCGCGGCGAGGACCCGGCGAGCGAGGGAGAAGCGCCGAGGGCCACGCCTCCATGGCGGCCAGCACGACCACCCACCCCGCGGTACCACCAGCCCGAGGCCAAGCCGAAGTCGCCGGAGACTCCGCCCCCCGCAACCGAGGAATCGACGACGGTGCGGACCGACTTACCGGTGGCCCACGTCAGCCACAGCACCCGGGCATTCGTAGCCGAGGGTGAGCGGTGGCGGCAGCAGTCGGTGGTGTGGACGTGGCCGGAGGGACTGGCGACGGAGGTAGCCGAAGATGAGCTGCGGATATGGGAGGAAGAGGCTCCCCAGGTGAACACTCGATATCCCCGATGGAGAGGCCGGGGGGACGCATGGGCCCCACCGACGCCGAGTACGGGGCCATCCAACACGAAATGGGCAACGGACCCGGAGGAGCCGCCATGTGAGTCTTCTGTCTTCGGTGTACTCCTAGATATGTCACTTCGTTTGCTTGCGGGAGTAGAGTATGGTTTAACATGAGCGGCGGGCAGTTTTGCCTGTTCAGGGTGAACGTAACGTGCTTGCATTTTTGTTCGTTCACTTTAATTCGCCAATCTGAAAGCCACTTTTCTACATCGACCAGATGAAGAGCGAGCTGCGCAGTTGCTTGCATCGGGCATTTTGAGCGGCTGAGAATGGCTGTATCATCAGCAAACGTAGATGTTGTTAGTCGTGTGCTTGTTGGGATGTCTGCTGTGTAGAGGACATATAATGTTGGCCCAAGCACGCTTCCTTGAGGAGCTCCAGCTCCAATAGTGAAATCGTCAGTTATAGCAGTGTTGCATCGAACAGCAAATTTTCTGTCGTAGAGGTAAGACTCTAAAAGCTTATGGGTGTTGTAGGGGAGCATTGTCTTGATCTTGTACATTAGACCTTCTAGCCAAACTCTATCAAATGCTTGAGAGACGTCTAAAAATATGGCAGTACAGTACTCTCGTTTTTCGAACGCGTTCCGAATTTCTGATGTTATCCGGTTTACCTGCTCAATTGTTCCGTGCTTTTCACGAAACCCAAATTGATGTGACGGAATTCCTTCCTGGATTCTTAGGTATGTGTTTATCCGAGTCAATACGCATTTTTCAAAGAGTTTAGATAAGCATGAGAGTAAATTTATAGGTCTATACGACGTGGGAATTGTGTGGTCTTTTCCTGGCTTTGCTATCATTATTATAATCGACTTTTTCCATCTCACTGGAAAGTGGCCAAGTTTTGCGATGGCATTAAAAAGCTGGGTGATAGTGCAAACGGCGCAATATGGTAGCTCAATAATCATTTTGGGAGTTATGAGGTCGCAGCCCGGGGATTTTTTCGGATTTAGCTGATTTTTGATGATGTTAACGATTTCGTTTGGGCGAAACTCAATTGGTTCATGTTGAAGCTGAGGCTCATGTGGTAAAGTCGGCAAGGTGAACGCACTAGTGGCAGGGTTTGGTTGGAAGAAATTTTTAAGGTGGTTGGCAAACGTGCTGGCTCTGTCTGCATCGCTGCGCGCCCAGCCGCCTGTGGGATTTCTAATAGGCATCACGGTTACTTTCGGTGAGCTTAGAGTAGGGTGAGCTCTCCATAGTGAGTGTTTTGTACTAGATGTTGACAATTGCTCCATGTAGCGTCGTTGGACATGTGCTTCTTCTTGCTGTAAAGCTTTTGTGAGTTGACGTGAGGCATATTTTAAGCTTTGCCTAGCAGATGGCGATCTGTGGAGTTGCCACTCTCGACGTAAGCGTCGCTTTTCGAGGACGAGCTGTTCTATTTGTAGATTTGTCTTCTTTTGGTTGCTTTGCGTACTTGTAGTTTGGGGTGTTGAAACTCGAGCTGCAGAGACGAGTACAGACTCCAGTGTATTAACAAATGTGTCTACGTTGGCTTCATCGTTGAGATGAGGACTTAGCTCAATGTGTGAGCTAATGTATTTCTTGTACTTAACCCAATTGGTTTTCTGAGATGTCAATTTAAACGATTGCTCCAATGCTCCTGGATGTCGGAGTAGAATAAACAGGACAGGCGAGTGATCCGATGAAAGATCCGAGAGGCATTCGGCGCTTATCAGATTTTTAGGAATGTTTTTGGTAATTGCAAAGTCTATTAAATCGGGTAGTTTCCTTGGGTCTGCCGGCCAGTATGTTGGTCTGCCAGGAGAAACATGGTCCAGCTTCTTCTTGGCTTTTATAACAGCATTATAGAGCTGTTTACCTTTTGGAGTCACGAGACGTGATCCCCAGTGTGTGTGCTTGGCGTTGTAGTCCCCTGCTGCTATGAAGTGGTCTCCTAGCGAGTTGAAAAACTGCATAAACTCATCTTCAGCTATGGTGAAGCGAGGGGGCAGTATACAGCGGCTAGTGTAAGTTGGTTGCCAGTATTTGTTTGTATATTTATAGATGTGGCCTGTAGGTAATTTTTAGCAAATTTGTTATGATAGTGGTGCTTAATACGGCTTCTGATTTAAATTCCAGTCCCACCATGTGCTTTACCATCTGGATGATTTGTTCCATAGAATGAATAACCTCGTAGTTGAAAATTGTATTTGTTTGTAAGGTGTGTTTCTGAAAGCAGCATTACGTCGATATGGTTGTCGAGTAGGAATTGAGCTAACTCAAGTTTATGCTGTGAGACGCCGTTAGCGTTCCACGTAGATATCCTTAGGGAAGTCATTATTTGGATTGTTGTGAAACCAGCATTTGAATCAATAGATTTTGGTTTCGCATTAAATCTTGCATAGTTGTGCGCATAAACGACATAAACTCCGTAAGGCTTTGCTGCTGGCTGTATATCATATCTTCAAAGTTGCTTTTTGACTGCTGTGATAATTAAACCGTCGTCGCATGCAGACGTGTATTTATTGTACTCCGGGAAAAAAGTATTTAATAAAATCACAAAAGTGCAGTGACCGATTTAATAAATCTACTATAACGCGAAAAGACGCTTTCTGCGATGAAATCGCGAATGTTTATATTGATTTGTCATTTAATTAATTTAAAACTTAACACTTAAAACTCTAATTAACTTTATCACGAATACAATGAGTCTGAACGACGTTCGCACACAACGTCAACGTGAGCAAGACGAGAGACGGCTCTCAGTGCAAAGAAATAACGCGTACTTCTCTTTTAAAGCAACCGAAAATAATGCAAGCTCTGATCAAGCGCGGGCAATTACCCCCAACTTGACCGAGTTCTTAAACGTAGCGAGCGAGAGAGCGCGTTCTTGCTCCCCCTCGCTACCATCGACGTCTCTGCGGCCAAAGAGCGCTGAAAGTGCTCCAATGCAGGTATGCAATAACCTAAGCTCATCAGCAGTAACTAGCACCGCAATTTCTTTAACAACGTCAACTGTAACTACAACAACAACTGCAACCGTATCGACTGCGCGTTTAATGCCATCATCAGCTAGCAGCGCAAATATTAATACGTCTGCCGCTGCGCTGCCCGAAAAAACAGAACAAAACCAATGAATGTGCTAAGCCGGCTGTGCAGACTGGTATGGATCGCTACATCCAAATCAAAAGGAAGCTGAGCCCTCTAAATTCTCAACGCAAAATAACCCGTAACAATGCTAGCCTAGCTGGAATAGAAACGCCCACGAACTCAAACCGATTTAAAATCTTGGAAGACGCCTATGACGTTGAGGCGGCCGAATCCACTGAAGTCGAGAAAAGGAAGCCAAAACCTCCGCCTATTTATATTCGGGAAAAAAAATCCAATGTTCTTGTCAACAAAATTATCGAGCTTATTGGAAAGGATAACTTCCACATAATACCTCTAGTAAGGGGCAACATCCAGGAAACAAAGGTTCAAATGAAGTCTGAAGATAATTACAGAGTATTATCGAAATATCTTTCCGAAAATAAAAAGAACTTTTACACGTATCAGCTAAAAAGTAGCAAGGGCCTGCAAGTCGTACTTAAGGGCATATAGTCCGACGTAACGCCTGCAGAGATAACAAAGGCGCTTCAAGAGAAGGGATTTAACGCTAAGACAGTCTTCAACATCCTTAACAGGGATAGAAAGCCGCAGCCACTCTTTAAGGTTGAGCTCGAAGCAGAAAGTAAGCCCCTAAAGAAATACGAAGTGCACCCCATTTACAATCTTCAGTTCCTGCTGCACCGCAGAATTACAGTTGAGGAACCGCACAAACGCAATGGACCGGTACAATGTGCGAACTGCCAAGAATATGGCCATACAAGGTCATACTGTAAACTGCGCCCGGTGTGTGTAGTTTGTGGAGATCTTCATGACTCCGCACACTGCCCAGCGAGCAAAGATGACTGCAACTCGAAAAAGTGCGGCAACTGCGGTGGCAATCACACTGCTAACTACAGAGGCTGCCCTGTTTATAAGGAGCTGAAAAGTCGCATCCACCAGAGAGGAACTGCCGCCCGCACCCAAAATAAACAGATGACAGCTTCCAGATCAAACCCTGAAGTCTTCTTCTCGACTGCAGCCAGATCCTCACTAGGACCCTTAAACTCTGATAAAAATGTGACTTACGCAAGCGCTTTAAAATCAGGACTGGCTAACCCTGTCTCAAAAAGTTCATTTCAGCAATCAGCATACCAAGAACCGAACACGGCTCAGCAGCAACAATACAAATTTTGAAAAAAAAAAACACAAACAAACACAAACTTATTGATCTAAAGTCGGATAGGTGGCTGGAAAGATGAGGGGCATACATCGTCGGCACCAGCAAGCTAAAAAAAAAAAAAATAGAAAAGGAAATATATAAGTAAACACAGGCGAGAAAAACGTTAAAATTCATGGTACTTACATGACTTCTCTGCGCTCTCCCTGTCAGGTCGCCAGCTCAGCAAGAGAGAGGCTGAGCCTGAAAAGGGCATCTGAAGGGCATAAGGAGAAAATCAAAAAAGGAAAACAAAAGAAAGCATGAAATACTCGCCAAGTGAAAGAATTGTGCTACATCACTTCAATAAAGGGATGGGGGCTTCGATTTAGAAGCGGTCGATTGGCACTAGATGATAGTGTCGATCGATGGGCACAGAACACTGGAGATGACGGCACAGGAAGGGTCACAATAAAAAAATATCGCCACCACCGGATGGCAACGCTGCAATAATTCAAATCATCGAGATCGGCTGGAAAACCGATCGGGAGAGCGGTAGTGTGACCAGACAACGAAGGAAAGGAGATGCTTAGAACGCGAAGCATATGGGTGAAACATCTTGGGCGGGACATTCAAAGGAGATTCGAAGGAGAACACGAGACGTCTATGGGGAAACATCTTGGGCGGGAAGAGGAATGGAGTATCGGCGCTGTGGAACTCAGGTACGATCTGTGAGCGTAGAGGGAACCATTTGAAGGAGCAAGAGGACTCGAAGGCTACAATGATTAACAAGGAAGACAGCAGGAGACAAGAAAATCAAGTCTATGGGGGAAACATCTTGGGGCGGGAACTACATAGAACGAGAAGGAGCGACGTCGAGGGAAGGAGGATCAACATCAGCGATCCAGAACAGCGGATCTAGAGAGAACTCCAAGATAACAGGAAGGGGAGAATGTGAGGAGTTAAATAACTCCTCACAAATAAATGAGAGTTTGGAGAATCCAGCTGGTGAGAGTTTGGAGAATACAGCTGGTGAGAGTTTGGAGAATACAGCTGGTGAGAGTTTGGAGAATACAGCTGGTGTGAGTTTGGAGAATCCAGCTGGTGAGAGTTTGGAGAATACAGCTGGTGAGAGTTTGGAGAATACGGCTGGAGAGAGTTTGGAGAGAACGTGTAACGGTAGAAGGCGGCGGACTTTGGACCCTAGTATGGTGCCGTGCGCAAAACCAAAAAAGGAGAAGCCGAGAATTAACGGGATACGACGGCCTATATAAGCGGGCCGAGTTCACCGACAGGCAGCTGACCGAATCCCGAGAGCCAAAGACCCGCTGCACCTAGTCTCACAAGAGCACGCGGACAACGGAGCCAGGATTCGCGCCGTGAGCAGAGCAAGGACTCAAGCAACGACGAGTAGTCATCGCAGGCCCAGCGGCAACCAAGCCATACTCCGACGTATCCAGTCTACGCTAAGAGGCGAGGGCGGAAGCGTTCGTCTTGAACCTAGCGTCCTGCAACAGGGACTGCATTGGAGGTCTTCCGGCGTATGTCTGAACCGTCAGGTAGAAACTGTGTAGGAGTCTGGTGTGACCGGCCGGGACAGATCCAGAGACAGGAGGCTGTGGCTGCGAAAGGCGTACGCTTTGAGAGTCCAGTGCGTGTTCACCCTAGTCTGGGAACGGTGACGCATCCCCAGACCCTCATAGCCCCAAGGCCAAAGACAGCGGAGGTGTTCCGGAGCAGCGAGCAGCGAGGCAGCGGAGAGCGACGGTGGAGCGACCACAATTCTTCAAGGAAGGCAACCATCTGTCACCATTAGTCCCAGGCCGAGGAACAAGTCGGCGAATAAAGATCCTAGTATAAACAACATAACATTCTGTGCGTTCTCACTAGACAATCGGGCGGTCACGTTTATATAAATTTTGTGGGACGAAAAACATACATCTTCTGAGATAGCCGCACGATACTCGTAGCGAGCAGACATAGAAAATCAGTTCGTTACAGAGTGCTTTCTCTTCCCGGTTACAGTTTTCGGTTTGTCGTAGCACGCAAATTGAATAGATCGTAATAATCGAGTAGGCCTTGAAGAGTTAGAGTAAGAATCCACCCCATTAGCTGACGAGCCGAAGCCGAGGAACATTTTTGCGTGCACTCTAACTTTATCAGTAACACCGAGCCTAAACTTTGTTTAAAGATGCCCGTTACACATTCGTTGAAATTGATTTGAGCCGTCGACACACATTTTTATACCCTTGCAGAGGGTATTATAATTTTGGTGAAAAGTGTGCAACGCAGTGAAGGAGACATCTCCGACCCTATAAAGTATATATATTCTTGATCAGGATCACCTCCTGAGTTGATATAGCCATGTCAGTCTGTCCGTCTGTCTGTTTCTACGCAAACTAGTCTCTCAGTTTTAAAGCTATCGAATTGAAACTTTGCACACACCCTTCTTTCCTTTGCACGCAGTATATATGTCGAAACGCGATCGGCCGACTATATCCTATAGCTGCCATATAACTGAACGATTGGAAATGCCATAACTTTGGTGTTTGTAAAGTTAAGAAGTTAACTGATTGATCGGAAATGCCATAACTTTGGTGTTTGTAAAGTTAGGAAGTTGAAATTTTCTATGGGTTTTATATTTGGCCAATAAATCCGACCTAACAAATTTCATAAGGATCGGCAGACTATATCCTATAGCCGCCATATAACTAATTGATCGGAAATGCCATAACTTTGGTGTTTGTTAAGTTAGGAAGTTTGGATTTTTTATGGGTTTTATTTTTAGCCAATCAATCCGACCTATCAAATTTCATAAGGATCGGCCGACTATATCCTATAGCTGCTATATAGCTGAACGATTGGAAATGGCATAACTTTGGTGTTTTTAAAGTTAGGAAGTTGGGATTTTTTATGAGTATTAAGAATGCATCATATGAATAATTTTGGAGAATATAATGTACAGAGTATTCTGCAAGGGAATATCAACTTCGGCTCCGCCCGAAGTTAGCTTTCCTTTATTGTTTCGTTTATTTTCGCTATTAATAATTTTAGCCATAAACTTTAGCCAGTGGAAATGTTCCAACTATTTTCGTCACTAATATAGAAGTTAAGTAGGACACACAAGTCAGGATATCATTAATTGCAATCTATTCTTCATAAATGTCTAAAAGCAATTTATAGTGGTTCGTTTTTATTGAATTCTAAGATTTCTGTGAGATTTTCTAAACAGGATGAAAAATAAAAGCAACTCGCATGGCGACAGATATTGCAACCCTTACGAAGCTTTTGGTGTCTTCGATCACAAAGGTAAAGATTTAAGAAAAATATCTGTCACAATGAAACGAAAGTTTCCTGAGCTTCCTGATACGTTTAAAGTTTGTTGGGAATGTAGACGCAAAAAAGCTATGCCTGCAATTCAGAGTGAAGTCGCTGAAATATTAGAGCCTCAAATTAATAAAATGGAGGTAGGCTATGATCTTTTTTGTTCAGAAAGGAAAATCGAATTAAAAAATATGATGAACGATTTAAAAGAAAAAATTTGCCACTCTGTCAAATATCGATCCATTACGATTACGTATTCTGACCATACTTCAAAAAATCATGGAGTCCCAAAAAGATTTCAAAGGAGTTGGTCATTTGCAAAGAATGGTAAAGACCTTAGAAATACAAATGGCATTTTGGGAGATACTACATTGAAGACTGTAGAAAATGTAGTAAACTTCTATGGTAATGACGAAAATAGTAGGATAATGCCAGGAAAGAAAGATTTTGTATCTGTTAAAAATGAAAACGGAAGTTCATTGAAGTTCGTTTATTCCCATCGGTGCGTTTTATCAAAACAATTTTCATTTTCTTCCGGCTATTCAAACATACATTTAAACACCGTTCGCTTCGCGAGTGCACTTGTTTAGTTTTCGTAATTCTTATCTGTGTTTTCTTTTCTTATATCCTCACCGTTTCTCTTTTGTGCATGCACTTTAACTAATCCCGCTCTCTTGCTCTCTTTGCTTTGAAAGTTTTAATCGTGCAGTTTCTGTGCTCTTGCGGTACTTATAACTGCTCGCTGTGAGTAGTCATAAACTCCCCACAAATCCCGATGCAGGAGATCGGCCTAGCAACAGCGGAGGAGGCGAGAAAGCCGGAGAAATGAAGGGCATCCAGGTCAAACGGGAAACATTCGGACCTTGGACCCTCATATGGCAAGGGCAACGAGGTCATACGGTGAATTGGCGGACTTCGGACCCGCCTAAAGAGGACACACCGTGAATTAACGGTACCTCGATGGACCTTGGACCCGCGCCCGGCAAGGGCACCGGGGTCATACGGGTAATTGGCGGACTTCGGACCCGCCCAAAGAGGACACACCGTGAATTAACGGTACCTCAGTGGACCTTGGATCCGAGGGAAATAACGGCACCTACAGTGCCTATAAAAAGGACGGCGCAAGCGCAGCTCGGGAACGAACTCACAACTTCTCTGAGCTAGCCGCACGTTTACGTAGCGAGCAGAAAATAAAGAAACAGGTCGTTACATCTGGCGCCCAACGTGGGGCTTCTGTGCGTTCTCGGCCGGAGTTTGCGTTTCCCTTCCTGTACGACGAAGGAACAATCGGCACAGGAAGGGAAACGCAAACTCCGGCCGAGAACGCACAGAAGCTGAAAGAAATCTTCGAGCTGGTGAGGCGTAATATGGAAAAGGCAGCGCAGGATCAGGCACGCCACTACAATCTGCGTAGACGCCCATGGAAACCGAACATCGGTGACACAGTCTGGGCTAAAGAACATCATCTGTCCAAGGCCGCAGAAGGATTCGCTGCAAAATTGGCACCAAAATATGACGGGCCTTTTAAGATAATAAATTTTAATTCGCCGGTGATATGCAATTTGCGGCATGAAAAGACTGGCAAAGAAAAAACCGCCTACGTTAGCCAATTAAAAAAACAATTTATTGATGGCCAAAACAAAGGATCGAAGTCGGACTTAGCGGGGGCGCACTGTGAATCCAAAGAGAGGGAGAGGACGATACACAGTATCGAACTCACTCAGATGCATTAGGAGCGCGAGAGCGGGAGAGGGAGGGTCATAGGATGCGGATACCGTTACCGGGAAACGCATACCAAAGCGGGGACCCGTCGGAGCCCGTAGCAAGGGAAAGTCCAAAGGCCGCCGCGGATAACGGAACCGGAAACATGGGCAACCGAGGTTTCGTCAGCGCGCGAGCGCCACAAGACGGGCCTATTGAAATCAGGTCGCCAAGATGCCAGCACGCAGCAGCAGCAACAGTCAGGTCATGTGGGGAGAGGGGCGGGGAGGCAGCACCGGGCAACAGCCAGCGGCGAGAAGCAGGCGGGACTCAGGTTCCGCACTCCAGCTGCTGGCGTCCCCCTGGTGTCGCGGTCCCCGTCGCCGAACCCCGAATGGGAGGACGAGGAACGCATCACGGATGTAGAGCTGGAGGAGGAGGAGGAGGACGAGCCACGTCGGGCGGCGAAGGCCCGGATGGCATTCCGCCGAATAAGGAGGGCCGCAGCCGGATTCGGGCGGATCCGGTTGGGCCACGCAGCGCCATCGGGCCACCCGGAGGAGGCAAAGCGTATGTTCGCAACCCGGGCAGAGGTGGTGCGGCGAGTATTTGCGCAGCGGGCGGTGGCACGGGCAGCCGCAGCAGCCAGGGATTGGCAAAAGCGGCTGGATGAGGCTGAGGCCGAAGAGGCAGCAAAATGGGCACGGCCAGGCCCTCCGGAGCAGCCGCCGCTGCAAGCACCTCCACCACCGTCGCCACCGCCGTCGCTGTCGCAGCCGCCACCACTGTCGCCGCCGCGGGCAGCAGCACCGCCACCGTCGCCGCCCCGGGCAGCAGCACCGCCACCGCCACGTTTTGCTGGCAACGGCGATGGCGTTGGCACCCACGGCGGCGGTGGAGGCGGTGGCGTCTCCGCTCCGTGCCGTGGTGATTGGGTGGTTGCGCGTTGTCTAGAATTACGCATGTTGATGACCTTGGCGTCCTCCTTGACCCTAAACTTAAGTTTTGTGACCATATTACTTCTATGGTGAATAAAGCCAGGGGAGTACTTGGATTTATTAAAAGGTGTTCAAAGGAATTCGATGATCCCTATGTTACAAAGACTCTGTTCATTTCACTAGTCCGTCCAATCCTGGAGTACTGTTCTGCAGTTTGGAGTCCTCAGTATGGTGTACATATAGACCGGATAGAGTCTGTGCAAAAGAACTTTTTATTATTTGCTCTACGGGGCCTTAACTGGAATGCAAGCCTTATTTTACCATCCTACTCTAGTAGACTTCTCCTAATTAATCTACCATCCTTAGTAAACCGTAGAACGATGCTTGGCACAACTTTTATCTATAAACTTATTCACGGGGATGTGGAGAGTCCCGAGTTACTGGGTCGCATAAGCTTCTCCGTGCCTAATAGAATTACCAGGAACTATGTTCCTCTTACATTAATTATTTGTAGATCTAACTTTGATATGCATGAACCGTTTAGAGTACTGTGTAACGACTATAATAAACTATACCACATTATTTCTACTACCGACTCTTTGCCAAGCCTAAGATCATTAATTTTATCTTACCTATCACAAAATTAGTATTAGTATTAGTCTCGTACGTATTTGTAATCTTAGTCTGTCCGCTTCTACATTGTGCTTTTAACTTCTCGCGATCTCGTTTTTACGCCTATTAGGCTCCGCGCGTAACAAGCACTGCTTGGTGTCGTAAGGGCCACTTGTTTGCGCTGATCATAGTGCATCAACGTCCGAATGTTCCACCAAATTTATATTGAGTGACCGCCCGTGACCAAAGGATAACGCCAGAAATGATTATGTTGGTGCTGGTTTATTGTTTCTCTACAATATAGCCTTATTGCTATTAATCTGCTGCCCCTTGTCGCTGTCTTCTGCTGCGTTGCTCGCTGCTCTGCTCCTGGCGTGCTGCTGCGTCGCTCCTGGCCTGCTACTGCGTTGCTTTGGCTTGCTGCTCCGGTAACTGAGATCGGGACGACTCCACCAAAACCCTGGATGTTATGCGAGCTTCCCTACCGGGGCCGGCAAGGTGTATCGCCTAGCAGGTGAACCGAAGTTACGCCTTATCGCCTAGCCACCTTTATCGCCTGGCTTCCGGAGTTCAGCTTGGACTTTGTCGGCAAGGTGTATCGCCTAGCAGGTAGAACAAAGTTCTCCCTTATCGCCTAGCCACCTTTATCACCTGACACCGCGCAAGGACGCCCTAAGCTTGACTTTACTACGACCTAGCACCGTTGGATCTCAATGTTGTAGCCTCAGCCTTGTAGACTTGTCGTCGTTCGGCGTCTCGACTTTGCGATCTTGATCCTTGGGCACTTCGGTTTCGATGTTTACTTATTCCGCGTTCACGCACTCGCTCTGATTCTCCCACTCGTACTGTCCCGAGCTGCGCTTGCGCCGTCCTTTTTATAGGCGCTGTAGGTGCCGTTATTTCCCTCGGGTCCAAGGTCCACTGAGGTACCGTTAATTCCGGTGTGTCCTGTTTGGGCGGGTCCGAAGTCCGCCAATTCACCGTATGACCTCGTTGCCCTTGCCATATGAGGGTCCAAGGTCCGAATGTTTCCCGTTTGACCTGGATGCCCTTCATTTCTCCGGCTTTCTCGCCTCCTCCGCTGTTGCTAGGCTGATCTCCTGCATCGGGATTTGTGGGGAGTTTATGACTCCTCACATTTCCCCTTCCTTCGGAAACGTAATGAAAGTGGTGACTTTCCCCTCCCTTTATGTTTAGACTACTCGAATTCCCCGCCTGACTTGCGTGTTAGATGTTCCCCAGACAGTTCCCCGAAAGACTTAACCTTTCCCCACACTGTTCTCCTAAAAGACTTAACCCGTACAGCTTCTTGAAAGACTTGAACTTTCCCGCGACTGTTTCCCTAAAAGACTTTTCCATGCAGCTCCTTGAAAGATTATTTCCCCAGACTGTTTCCCTGTTCCCCAGACAGTTCCCAGTTCCCATTTCCCAGACAGTTCCCAGTTCCCCAGACAGTTTCCAGTTCCCCAGACAGTTCCCTGCGTGGAATTCGAATTTTCCCGCCCAGACATTTCCCTAAACTAAAAGTCCGTTTTCCCTCGGTCCGGCAACTCCCTGGAATCTCACCACGATCGCGTTTATCGGTTGTGGGTTCCAGTGTTGCCATCGTCGTTGCCGTTTTGTTGTCTTAAGTTGCCATTTGGATTTTTGAACATAGAAATAACCAATTTTCTTAACCCATCGATCGCAACTATCGATCGACCGCCTATCTCGGCGCCCCCGTCCCTATTACCTATGTCGCAGCCGCCACCACTGTCGCCGCCGCGGGCAGCAGCACCGCCACCGTCGCCGCCCCGGGCAGCAGCACCGCCACCGCCACCACCGTCGCCGCCCCGGGCAGCAGCACCGCCAAGGCCACCACCGTCGCCGCTCCGGGCAATAGCCCCGCCACCGCCACCACCGTCGCCGCCCCGGGTATCAACACCCCCACCACCGTCACCGCCGCAGGCACCACGGCCATCCCAATCACCACGGCACGGAGCGGAGACGCCACCGCCTCCACCGCCGCCGTGGGTGCCAACGCCATCGCCGTTGCCAGCAAAACGGCTCGGTGGGGAGTCGGAGTTCTGAGAGAAGGGGCCTTGGGTGTGGCCGACATCAGGAGTGCCAGCCGCACGGCCGCATAAAATCGCCAGGCTGACGTCGTGACCGGAGCCGCGGTCCCCACCAGCCAGCCGTCCGCTACCGCATCCGGGTGTCAAACGGGGTGGTAAGAGTCCTGAGGGGCTAATAAAAGCCATTAATGGTTTTAAAAAATCACAATTGCTTTGTTTATTTACCTTTTGGAATAAGGGAGTTGCCGGACATAGGTAATAGGGACGGGGGCGCCGAGATAGGCGGTCGATCGATAGTTGCGATCGATGGGTTAAGAAAATTGGTTATTTCTATGTTCAAAAATCCAAATGGCAACTTAAGACAACAAAACGGCAACGACTATGGCAACACTGGAACCCACAACCGATAAACGCGATCGTGGTGAGATTTCAGGGAGTTGCCGGACCGAGGGAAAACGGACTTTTAGTTTAGGGAAATGTCTGGGCGGGAAAATTCGAATTCCACGCAGGGAACTGTCTGGGGAACTGGAAACTGTCTGGGGAACTGGGAACTGTCTGGGAAATGGGAACTGGGAACTGTCTGGGGAACAGGGAAACAGTCTGGGGAAATAATCTTTCAAGGAGCTGCATGGAAAAGTCTTTTAGGGAAACAGTCGCGGGAAAGTTCAAGTCTTTCAAGAAGCTGTACGGGTTAAGTCTTTTAGAGAACAGTGTGGGGAAAGGTTAAGTCTTTCGGGGAACTGTCTGGGGAACATCTAACACGCAAGTCAGGCGGGGAATTCGAGTAGTCTAAACATAAAGGGAGGGAAAGTCACCACTTTCATTACGTTTCCGAAGGAAGGGGAAATGTGAGGAGTCATAAACTCCCCACAAATCCCGATGCAGGAGATCAGCCTAGCAACAGCGGAGGAGGCGAGAAAGCCGGAGAAATGAAGGGCATCCAGGTCAAACGGGAAACATTCGGACCTTGGACCCTCATATGGCAAGGGCAACGAGGTCATACGGTGAATTGGCGGACTTCGGACCCGCCCAAACAGGACACACCGGAATTAACGGTACCTCAGTGGACCTTGGACCCGAGGGAAATAACGGCACCTACAGCGCCTATAAAAAGGACGGCGCAAGCGCAGCTCGGGACAGTACGAGTGGGAGAATCAGAGCGAGTGCGTGAACGCGGAATAAGTAAACATCGAAACCGAAGTGCCCAAGGATCAAGATCGCAAAGTCGAGACGCCGAACGACGACAAGTCTACAAGGCTGAGGCTACAACATTAAGATCCAACGGTGCTAGGTCGTAGTAAAGTCAAGCTTAGGGCGTCCTTGCGCGGTGTCAGGTGATAAAGGTGGCTAGGCGATAAGGGAGAACTTTGTTCTACCTGCTAGGCGATCCACCTTGCCGACAAAGTCCAAGCTGAACTCCGGAAGCCAGGCGATAAAGGTGGCTAGGCGATAAGGCGTAACTTCGGTTCACCTGCTAGGCGATACACCTTGCCGGCCCCGGTAGGGAAGCTCGCATAACATCCAGGGTTTTGGTGGAGTCGTCCCGATCTCAGTTACCGGAGCAGCAAGCCAAAGCAACGCAGTAGCAGGCCAGGAGCGACGCAGCAGCACGCCAGGAGCAGAGCAGCGAGCCAGGAGCAACGCAGCAGAAGACAGCGACAAGGGGCAGCAGATTAATAGCAATAAGGCTATATTGTAGAGAAACAATAAACCAGCACCAACCTAATCATTTCTGGCGTTATCCTTTGGTCACGGGCGGTCACTCAATATAAATTTGGTGGAACATTCGGACGTTGATGCACTATGATCAGCGCAAACAAGTGGCCCTTACGACACCAAGCAGTGCTTGTTACGCGCGGAGCCTAATAGGCGTAAAAACGAGATCGCGAGAAGTTAAAAGCACAATGTAGAAGCGGACAGACTAAGATTACAAATACGTACGAGACTAATACTAATACTAATTTTGTGATAGGTAAGATAAAAATTAATGATCTTAGGCTTGGCAAAGAGTCGGTAGTAGAAATAATGTGGTATAGTTTATTATAGTCGTTACACAGTACTCTAAACGGTTCATGCATATCAAAGTTAGATCTACAAATAATTAATGTAAGAGGAACATAGTTCCTGGTAATTCTATTAGGCACGGAGAAGCTTATGCGACCCAGTAACTCGGGACTCTCCACATCCCCGTGAATAAGTTTATAGATAAAAGTTGTGCCAAGCATCGTTCTACGGTTTACTAAGGATGGTAGATTAATTAGGAGAAGTCTACTAGAGTAGGATGGTAAAATAAGGCTTGCATTCCAGTTAAGGCCCCGTAGAGCAAATAATAAAAAGTTCTTTTGCACAGACTCTATCCGGTCTATATGTACACCATACTGAGGACTCCAAACTGCAGAACAGTACTCCAGGATTGGACGGACTAGTGAAATGAACAGAGTCTTTGTAACATAGGGATCATCGAATTCCTTTGAACACCTTTTTAATAAATCCGAGTACTCCCCTGGCTTTATTCACCATAGAAGTAATATGGTCACAAAACTTAAGTTTAGGGTCAAGGAGGACGCCAAGGTCATCAACATGCGTAATTCTAGACAACGCGCAACCACCCAGCGTATATTACTTTGCACTTAGCGCTATTTAAATCCAAAAGATTTTCACAACACCATGTTTAAAAGGCGTTTAGGTCAGATTGTAAGTCTGAACTGCTAGAAATTTCGTTATATTGCAGGCATAACTTAACGTCATCTGCGTACATAAGGACACGCGACTTTGTCAGGACTAGAGGGAGATCGTTTATAAATAAAGTAAAAAGAAGTGGGCCAAGGTGGCTTCCTTGTGGGACGCCTGAAGTAACTCGGATCAAATCAGAGATCGAGTTTTTAAAGAGGACTCGTTGAGTCCTACCACTCAGATAACTTGAGATCCATGTTAGAAGATCACATGGAAACCCTAATAAGTCTAGCTTTAATACAAGTAGCGAGTGATTTACTGAATCAAACGCTTTACTAAAGTCAGTGTAAACTACGTCAGTCTGCATGTTCTTTCTAAAGCCATTTATTACAAAAGACGTTAGATCCAAGAGGTTTGTCGTCTTTGCCTTATAAATCCATGTTGACATGGAGATATAATCGATCTACAAAGATGTTGCCAATGGGGTGTAATAGTGTTTTCGAAAAGCTTTGGGATGGCGGATAATTTGGATATGCCTCTGTAATTACTTGTATTGCATTTATTTCCTTTCTTATGAAGGGGAATGACAAATGACTCCTTCCAAATAAGTGGGAAATGAGATGTTTTTAAAGACAAGGTAAACAATTTGTACAGAGGTCTACACAGAGTTTCAGCACAGTACCTCAGCACGCAGCCTGGAACTCCGTCCGGACCCGGTGAATAGACAGGCTTAACTTTATGAAGATCCAAAAGAAGGGAGCTTTTGCTTAACCTCGGACAAAAAATCAAGTTCGACTTGGGTATGGCATTTGAATAAGACGGATTTGGACGGGATGAAACAGAATATGTTGTCTGGAAAAACTGGGCAAATAGATCGGCAATTGCCTGATCAGAATTTGCCGTAGAGTTTTCGAATGATAGTGATGCAGGGTAACAGGCTGATTTACGCTTAGTGTTAACAAAATTATAAAACTGTTTTGGATCTTGTGAAAATTGGACCCTACAACGAGTCAAATAGCTTTTATAACACCGGGCGTTAAGCACGATAAAATTTGACCGAGCCCTTAGGTACCGAGAGAAGGCAGATTGTGAACCGCACATTTTAAATTTATTGAAAAGTCTGGACTTTATATTTTTTAGGTGTGACAACTCTTTATTAAACCATGGAGGTTTATTTGAAATTGACGGATAGTATAACGGAACACACAGATAAAAGAAGGAATTCAATGCATTATAAAAGATATTAACGGCCTTAGCCACGTTAGTGCATGAATAAAATTCGGACCAGTCATAGCCGGATATAAAAGTATTTAAAAGATGAAAGTTTGCCTTACGAAAGCAGCGGATTCGTTTAACCGACTTTTCGGATTTTTTATTCAGCTCTGTTCTTGCGTCTACAGTCAGCTCTAGAGTTGGATGATAAGGATCTTCCGGTTGTGTAAGTGGTGACGTTCTTGATAGGCAAACGCCTTCTGAATTTGAAACAAAACACAAGTCCAGTAAACGTCCTAAGGAGTTCTTAACATGGTTCACTTGGGATAGCGCAATGTCAAGCAAGCCGTCAATAAAGTCATGCTGCGCTAAAGGAAGTAAAATATTAGAGTTTTCGTCAGGGGACCATGTCGCACTAGGTATATTAAAATCCACTAATACAATTAACTGATCTCGATCCGACAGTTTTTTGGAAATGGACTGAATAACGGAAAGGTGATTTGCGTAAATAGGGAACTCAGATGATGGTGGGATATATGAACAAGTAATATATACAAAACTACCGGGAAACGATAATTTTATACCTAGGAATTCGATGTCATAAAATTCTTCGAAAGTTAGTAATTAGAACTCACAACTTCTCTGAGCTAGCCGCACGTTTACGTAGCGAGCAGAAAATAAAGAAACAGGTCGTTACATCGCTTATAAATTTCAATTCGTTTTCTTGGTACAGTGGTTCCCATAGATAAAATGAATAATAAAAATTAAGTCTGCTTCTGCAAAAATGCAGCCTCGTAATCAGGGCTGACCAGTCTAATATGACTTGCTGGCTGTGTGAAAATATGGTGCACACCAAGTGCGCCGGTTTTACTGGCCGGACAAGTGATGACCTTTCAAAGGGGCCCAATTTGCAGTTTTGTTGTGACGCTTGTGTCGAGGTCGCGAACGAGATGAAATTGTTCATGCGCCAAACTAAAGGCGGCCTGATGGGGTTGATTAGCTGTTTCAGAGTTGCTAGAGATAGTTTTTGCCGAGCTGATGATCTCCTCTCTGCGCTGGACTCGCAGTTTAATAGTCGTAAGCTATTAGAAGAGTCCTCTAACCGCAAAAAGGCCGTTGGTGGTAAGGAGCAGAAGGGGAACACCCCGCAACCGAAATCAAAAGAACAACTGAGCATTCCGGCGGAT